ACCGTAAAGATAAGAGAAGAATAGGCAATCACACCATAACGGTCATCACGTATTACTATGAAGTTCCTCGAAATCTCAACAAATCTTCTGAAACTTTTTACATATGACAAATCGAGTCATAAGTGATTAATAAATTCTTTAATCTAGATATTGTCTACCATTCTCTAAAAGTAACACATAATGAATATAGAAAGATATGATGACTCATCAAAATACTGGAGATAGAATGTGTATATTAACTTTACTAATAAAACTGTCTTGATTTCTAAAGATTTTATTACAGCAAAAGACAAATCTATCATTATCCTGTTAATTCATCAAAATAAAAGATTAACCCATTTCAATTGAAAAAAAGGTCTGAATTGATATTGAAATGTTTTTTAGTGATACTTAGGTATTTTTAATAACTCAATAGTAACAGAAAAGAGAATGTTACAAAAGACATATATGACTTCACTCGACATTCTTTATGGCCTGCCAACTCTTTCGAACATTCGCAGTATGTTCTGAAGTGTAACAAATCTTCTGAAGTCTCTAGAAGTTCTTTATTTTTCCTTAGCTTCATTCACCCGTCGATATCATACAAGCGAAAAAATCTATTTTACGTAATAGCTTTGTCTCACTTATCTTTGCCTAAAAAAGAATAAACTGAAATACAAAGAAGAGCAATTGAGATTTAGATTGCTATGGATTGTCTTTAAATGAGTGGTTCAATCTTTGTACATGATCTCAATAAAAACAAGTTCGACAAAATATTTTACTTCTATGTACTTCTATAGAGATAGTTGTGTTTTTTTGATAAGATACATTCGGATTTTGTTTATTTTGTTGAAATTCGAGTATTCATTAGTAGAACTAGTGTGGAAAAAAATGTAATAAGAGCCTTCCTGAGATACATAATCTGAGAAATGCCGAACATATTATTAAAGTTTATTCAACAAATATTCGATTGTAATCAGATTAAATCTAGAAGCAATTGGGAATACTTTTAAATACGAAGTACAATATTTCTTTCCTTCACATTTTATATCTATCGAACTCTTGTATCTTATCCGCTACACCATAAGCTTACAGAGCCACTTGCCTATTTTTTGTTAGATCTATTCGATGCATTAAAGTCAATGAAACAAAAATTTCCTTCAGCTGCTGCTTTAATCAAAGGCACTGTCACATTTCCTGTGACATTTGTCGCTTGCGAGCGGTCCTTCTTCAACATGAACTTGATTAAAAATTATATTCGAAATTCTATGGATGAAGAAAGACTTCATGGTCTTAGTGTGTTAGCTATAGAAAGATAGTTCGAAATAGATTTTGAAAAAGTCGCCGATGTATTCGCCAAGCAGGACAAAAATAGTAGAATTATGTTAATATGATTAAGTTATTATGAAAAAAATTTAAAATAAAAGTTGATCATACCCTGATTTCTAGTCAAAAGTTTATAAGTAGTAAGTGATTGCATAGAATCTAAGCGCGCAAAGGACTGCATCGAGTTTGAAAGCTTTCGAAAAAAATCTTGTACGACTATCGACAAACTTTGGTCGATGAGTATGGAGCTAAGCTCTCCTAGATCAAAATCCTAGTTACGCCACTAATTCCAACGGAAAATAATTTATAAATTTCACATACTTTGATGATTCTAATGTTACGAATGAACATCATTGATCACAGCGATTACAGGATTATTCAATGCTGAGTGTAAAAACAAAAGAACTCAAGAAGAAAAAATTTGAATTGCATCTTAAAATCAGTGAACCGCTGCGAATATACAATAGAAGACATTTATTTGGCCAGTTAGTTTGTTCGCTGCCATATCGTACTGTATATCCAACATGTATATTTAGTTTATCAATAAAACACTATTCATCATAAATTCCATCTATACGTAATAATTGAAATAACTTATTCATATCATTATCTATAATTACTGAAAAAACATTTTATACATAATAATGGAAGCGATCATATAGAAAATGTATGCAATAATAATATTTACTCAACATGTAGGAATTCAGAAAGCGATCAGTCAACATCAACAAGAATTATACATTATTATCAATAAAATGAGAGCATCATCATTACCATTAGCTATTAAATACAATAGAAGCAAATCTTGAATATAAACAAGTTGATGATCATAATACAGTAGCTGCATTATTAAAAGTTAACAAAGAGAAGATTTGCATTTCAACGACGTCTATACGATCTGTCCACGCAATGCTTTACTTTTGTCGGCGAAATTGAACTATATATTTAAGCAAAATAAATAGAACCATATTGTAGAACAATGTCGATAGCATGGAAAAACATTTTTATTCATCTATGTAACTTCTTATATCTTAAAGATAAAATTCTGTTAAAAGGGTAATAAACAGAAGCAGTGTAAATCAATATTTACTATTAGTTTTTATTTTTCTTATGTTTCATATAAAAAAAATTTAGTTTTTTTCGAAACCGGTCACGTACTTTAAAACTGCTGTGAATAGGTTCTTTAGCCATGACAAGAGTTCTAAGTTTTGTTGCTTCCTAAGAAACTTATTTACAATTTAGAAACATAGTTCATTCATGCAAGTAATTCCGTCACGATAATACTTCGCAATTCATTTTTTTTAGATCAAATCAAGATATTTTTGTTTCCATGACAGCGTGCTCTAATATTACTTTCTTACACTCCGTCCAAAGAACACCATGGTTTTTTTATGAACATCTCGGTTTCGTTAAGAATGGTTTGTCGGAATCGTCGTCGGATGATTAAGTACTTTTTCAGCAAAAAGAAATAGAAATATTATTTTTCTCTTGTATTGTATTTTAGACATATGTTAACATAAGAAAAGATATTTCAGAATCCCATTGCCTAATGCTGAAGCTGGTTTATGACGGCTTCGAGCACTTATAATTATCAGAATGTGAGACTTCATTGGAATCGTCAATTTTCGTATATACATGATGTTTTCATAATAAGATGATGTGCAACGGTTTTTTTTAATTACTTTTGCTTTTTCACGAAAGATAGTAATTTGTATAAGCTGAAGGGCTATATTTAACTTTTTGAAAATGACAAAAATTGAGAAAATATGATCATATCTCAAAACATGATTTCGTCACGAAGTCTTTTCGTTTTTCAAAAGTCATTTTAATGCATTTTTCAAACTTTCTTTTTTCCTTGCTATGGCACGTCATCTATGCTACAATTGTCCTACAGAAAAAACTTTACATTGTAGTCTTAGTTGAACAAAGCTTTCAGTTCTTTCCGCAAGACTCAAACTTGTGGCGGTTCATTTACGTGATGCCATCACAAGAATATGTAGCTGTGAATTTCCTATTGATTAATACTGATAGACACATATACGCCCAAATGGCATAACTTTCGATATATTTCTTCAATAGTTTATATTTTTTTCTTTCATCATAGCCTATACTACTATCGGATTCGATTGGTCAATATTACAGATAAATCATTTCGAACAAAAAAGAACGTGTGATATCGATAATCGGAAAAGAAAGAAAAACACGGTCAGTGTCTATTACAAATGAAGCAATGTGATATAAGTCATTAACAAACAGAAAAGAACAGCGCATGTTGAGTGTCTGTTTTTTTTCCAATTGTGCAACGGCATTCGATGTAAGAATTGGTTGTGGTTGAGAAGATGATGGATAACTAGGAATAAAGGAGACATGCAATGACAATTGCTATCTATATCATGCAACACGTAAAGTCGTGACAAAAAGATAACACGTGGTGTTAATCGCTTTCAATGAAAAACAATGTGCTATCCATATAATTGTATGGAATATAAGGCCGAGAGCAGATGAAAGTGAGACGCAGCAGTTCACAAACATGCATTCCAAAGAGAGACAACTCTATTATGTGTCTGATGTTTTTTTCTTTCATAGGTTTAGTGGCATCTGTTCATATGATCTTAACTATAACTAATTTCGAACTTTTTTTAAAACTTTCTTTAACAAGCTTTCGAATGACTTCATCATTTTATGTTATTCAACTCGGACTGTCGTTATTGAAACGAGCAATTTCAGAACGTCAATTCGTATAAAACTCATCAAGTTCAACAACACTTGCAATTGTTATTATTACATTGATGATTTGCATGAAGCACTTCTGTGAACACTCTTTAGATTAATACTGTATCGTGTTAATCTATAGTGCATAAAAAATGTTCGTTTTTTTGTCTTTTTCACTAAACAGAAAATATGAAACATGCACAATTAACAAAAAGAAACACCAATCTATTGAGTAAGCAAAGACATAGATGTGGGCAGAAACAAAATATAACAAGACCGAAGTTATCGTATTCCACATTGAGTGGAATAGAGATTTATTCTATTTTCATCTACTTATCTCTCTTCTGTTCAATCGTCAATTGTAAACTAGTCAAGTATAGCAACAGATTTTTTACACTTGGAAACTTCATCCGGTCTACTGTTTTCATCATGGCTTGGGCCTGTCAATATAACGGTAAGAATAAATATGAACATGAGAAAATTTCCGTTGCACTGATTGACACCTTCAATAATGCTTCAAATATTACGTTCACCATTAATCTTTTCTAGAAACTCATGCATAAGTACTTTTGAAAAAAATGTTGCGTTTAATTTCTCTATAAAACTCGGTTTTTCTGTTCGCTGAGCATATATGACACTTTTTATTCTGTTTTATACGTTTTTATTAAGACTTTAAAAGCGATTATGTAATAGGTTAGAACTCAACATTTGTTCAAGATTTATGAAAATAGTGAATTAAATCGATCTAAACATCTAACTCTCAACAACATCTCCCTCATCAATCATCAATGATATCATCTTTTCATACTATGTTTATTTATTATTTATCATTTCATTGTATCAACAAACTAAAAAGGTAATTCTTCATATTAGCAAAACATTAATCTTTCACTATCCCATCCCATTCTATTCATAAATTCATGAGAAACAAAATCATTTCACAATTCTTTTTATTTTTCGTTCTCAGTTATATATATATTCTATTATTCATTTTTTTTATTACTTGCTTTTGGATTAAAATGATAATCTAATAAATCAACAACAACAAAACTTGAAATATTTTTAGATAAAAGTTTAAGTATAAAATAGTTATTGCCTGTAAGATGTTCTTTAGCAAAACTAGTAATATGATCAGGATCATAATTTCTTCGATAAATAAGATGTGTTCGTACATAATGTTCACGTGTTTTATCACTACTAACAAGATAATGTATTAAATGTCCAATCCATTTCATTAAATCAATAAAGATAATAAATGCTAAGAAAATAAACCAAATATATAAAAAGACATACATTTTTTCAACAATTATATTTAATGGTAATATACATTCAACAGTATATGCATGATTTGATGCTAATTCACGAAATGTAAAATCACAAAGTGTTCGTTTTGGAAATGCACTTGTATCAATTAATTCAGATACACCTGAACTTATTTTATTTATAAATTGACCAATAAAATGTGTTTCAAATGTATCTTCTTTTAAATGTTGAAAACGATTTATACCAAATGGACGTGTACCAATCATAAAATGAATTAAACTTATTTGAAATAAACAATTTAACAAATATAATAATTTTACACCAATATAGCATATTATTAAATAACATGAAAATATACGACTATGATGATGAAGACTATCAGTAACTATATCACCATCTTCTCGAACAAATAATCGAGAATCTAAATAATCAAGTTTATTATTACGAAATTCTGTAAGTGATTTTTTCTTTCCAAAATTAGGTATAAAATATAATTCACTTGCATTATCTAATAAAGATCTTATATCATGTTGACTACCTGAAACAGCTAAACGCCAAATTAATTTTGGTAAATAAAACAGAACTGCTTGAAGTGCAAAAATCCATGGCTAACAAAAAGACAAAACAAATAATTAGTTATTTTTTTCGATTATTGCTTTTTTTTCTTTTTTGACTAATACATACCAACCATTGATAATAAATAATCAAACCTTCATATCGTTCATTTGCAGATGAAGGTACACGTTGATCATCTGGTACATAATATGTATTATTTGCAAAACAATAAGCTGTTATAGCTCTTTCATATCGTTTTAATTGTGCAGGTGTCCAACAAATAATTGGTACAGTATAAGATGATTTGGCGCCACAAAATAAAGCAAATACACATAAAATAGCTGATGTAAATTTATAACTTAAACGATCAATAACAAAATCATCAGCTTTAGCGCGAACATTAGCAAATGATAAAACACCAGAGAAATTGTTCACTAGGTGTAATAAATCCATTCAAAACCTACAGTTGTCACAATAATAAATATATGTATAAATGCTCGTGTATGATTACCTCTTACACTGCAAGGCAAGTAGAAAATTTTTTTTTTCTTTCCTCGACACTGCTCTCACAGTGCTCCCTCGGCACATATGTGTTTGACTACTCAGGAGTCAGCAAAAAGAACAAATGAAGAAAAGAACGAATAAAAACTTGACGTAATGCTTCATACAATAAATCTGTATGTTATTTTATATGCATATGTGTATGCTCTATCAGTTACCATACACGTATTGCTATGCACAACAGTAAAAGAAAAAACGTACTTAAGTTTCTCTTTTCATTTCTTACACATCGATTTCATTAAGATTTTATTCGCTTGCCTTCTTTTTCCTCGCCTCCTCTCACGTTTATCGTTCTCACACTAGAATGTATCAGATAAAACAAAAAAAAAGAAACCATCAATAAGATGAAGATGTTCACATAACGTAATATGACTATCAATGTATGGTTGTCAGTAGACAGCAACAGCGTTAATGTCATTTCCTTTTACCATTACACACTAAGATAAACACATAAGTTGCTTTATCAATAAAATGATTGCTAGATCTCATCAAGCAATCGAACAAAAATCAAATATATTTTTCTATAATGAACATAAACAAAAGGAACAAAAGAAAAAAAAAACAAAATTTAGTATTCTTCAATTGTAGTTGAATGAAATATATTGTCGAGCCAATCATGTTGTTGTGATAGATCTTCTCGATCAAAATCTTGTGATTTATAATTGAGATTTTCTGTACTTATATTAAAAAGAGATAAATTTGGTCGAAGTGAATATCTTGAATAATCATCATCTTCCTCTTCAACATTCACACTTTTCACATACAGGTTTTCATGTACGATTTGTTTAAAATGATTTTCTTTCATCAAAGTTTGAATATGAAGAACATTTGAAGTAAATTTTGGTGGATGACGACGAGTTACAGGAGCACTTTGTGACATGAAATTAATATTCTAAAGAGTTAAGATAAGAATACTATAATAGAAGAAATTATTTAACTTACTTTCATAACAGTTTCTTTTGGTTTAACTTTCTTGTTATTTTTCTTTAATGTTTGAGAAGATTTTTTTGATGGAAGTAAAAGACTATGTGAAATATGAGAAAGAAGTTTTGATAATGAAGATATTGCTGACCATTTTTGATTTTTATTTGAGGACATGTTGAAAACCGAAATAATAGAACAGGCAATGAAATGAAATGACGTATATATATATATAGATAGATATGAAATTAAGTTACATGTAAGAGGTTTAAGTTAATTGTATATGAGAATCAAGAAGAAAAATAATAGATTCATTTTATTTAAATTAATGTTCTTATACTGTTTTAGAAATGGGAATATTGGCTCAATAAATTCACTATCATTTTGATCATCTTACGTAGACAATGTTCATATTCACTAATTAATAATAGACAAGAGAGAAAGAGAGCACATATGTTAGTATATCCTGAGAATGAAGTAAGTAGAAACATCTGTATAATATCAGACGCCTGTGAGACATATTATATAATTCGGTGAAAAGTAAGAGAATCAATGGTACAGAGAATACTTTTATGATAACCGTACATCACAAATT